TTAATACTATGTTGTGATGCAATATTTCAACTATCTAGCAAGGGTTAAAAAATTTTAACACTGTTGAAGGTGGTATGAGGAAATGGTCACTTTCAAACATGATTTAAGGAACAGTCACTACAGAAGAATTTAGTATCATTGTGCAAAGAGCTGGTACACATCTTTAATTATAGAAATATATCCTAAACATACACTCCTAAATGTACAAAAGGACATATACAAGAGGTTATTAACATCATTTTTTCTAATAAGAAGTTACTGAAAACAAATCAAATGTCCCCAGAGAGCACAAATGAAGTAAATTATAATGCAATCTTTTGAGGGCAAGAGAAGGAGCATATATCACTGTTACACAGACCAACCTCAAATTCCTCAGCTCAAGCAATCTTTCTACCTGTCAGCCTCCCAAGTATCCTTGGCTGTAGTGTGGACATTTACACGGGCATACGTAGTCACAAAACAAAAGGAAATTCTTTCCATATTGGCATGGAACAATCTTTAACATCCCTTAAGTAAAGCAAGCCTTAGAACTGTGTATACACACTAGGTCCTATGTCAGTCTCTGGTACTGAAAAACCAGTATGTTCATAAAATAGACTATTTGAGAATATGTTTGGGTATGAGGCTGTCTCTAGATGTATTCACAAAGAGAAAAAACATGTACATTGGTTAGATCTTGAAAGGATTGCATGATTGCCTGGACAACAGATATTAGGTGAGAGGAGAATTTTTAATACCATGCTAATCATTGAAATTATTTTTAATAATGTGATGCAGATATATTTTGAAGGAAATACTAAGAAGATGAAGAAAAAGAGCAATTAGAGGTAACTACCTAGGTTTGGGATACAAGAAATCAGCAGATCACAGGACCGCTTGCAAGACCACAGAGAGAATCAGATTTGGAGTAGGAGGGAGAGAATAATCCTTCCTTGGTCACAGTGAGTCAGCGATATCCATCGGTATCCAGGAGGCTATGTGTTCCCTGTGAGCGGAAGCACATCAAAGAAGTCCCGCTAGGAGAATAAAAGTTGGCAGTTGCCAGGGTATTGATAATATTTAAAGCCATCGTGTGGAAATACTGTATGCAATTACTTTTTTTTTTTTTTTTTTTTTTTAATCTTTTTCCTTTTTATTGGTACCGGGGATTGAACTCACGACTGCCTGCTTGCAAGGCAGGGCTTATGCCGCTGAGCTAAATCTCCAGCCCCTGTATGCAATTACTTAAGGAAATAGTCAAGATAAGAAGGCAATGGGACTGGCCAGAGTCCTGGCACACCAACATCTGGATTTGTAGTACGTTTACTACAAATGAGTGAGTAGGAAAATGAATATGTTACAGCAAGAGACAACTAAAAATACTTTTTCAAAAGAAATAGTGTCTTAGTTACTTTTTTCTCGCATTGCTGGGACAAAATACCCAAAACCAAAAATGAAGAAAGGAAAGGTTTATTCCTTACAGGTTGGAGGTTTCAGTCCATCCTCAGCTGGCTCCGGAGCACCTTGGCATGATGGTGCAGCCATTCATGGCCACTGCAAACAGCAAGGCCCAACCCATAATAGAGAGAGACCCGCCTTCTTCCCATCATTACATCATATCCTGGCTCCACCCCTGGGCGGGTGAAACACTCACACCACCAATCCGAGCACTAGACAGTGAACCAATTACAAACGCTAGATCTGGTCCAGTCCACAATTCCATGAGGTTTGGGGGCCACTGACATAAACCATGACAAACAGAAAAGGCCAAGCTTTAAATTCTACAGGAAATTAAGTAAAATGAGAATAGACAATAGGTGTTGGTAAAGTGCACGTAATTGAACATCTTCAAAAATAATGGTAATGGTGCACACCTGTAAACCTAGCACTTGAAGGCTGAGACAGGAGGATCACTGTGAGGGTTACATAGTGAGTTCAAGGCCAGTCTGAGCTACATAGTGAGACTGTCTCAAAAAACCAAAAACATGAGAGAGGGAGAACAAAATGAAAATATTAGTGTTGAAAAGAAAATAGAATGGTAAAGTTAAAATATCTTTTTCTAGAATACATTAGAAATAAAATGAGAAATAAAAAAGCAGGGCTTAGGCTATGGCTAGAAAGTTATGCCTTTTAAAAGATGGATAATACAATACAAATATAATAAATCTATGAAAGGATAATTTACATCACTTTCATAGATACTTGAAAGAAAAAGAAAGAAAACCTTTTTTTTTCTTGGTCTTTTTGAGACAGGGTCTTGCTGTGCAGTTCAGGCTGGCCTTGAGCTCACTTTGCAGCCCAGCCTGCTCTCAAACTCACAGCAATCCTCCTGCCTCAGCCTTCCAAGTGCTTGGATTACAGGTGTGTACTACCATATTCGGCTAGAAGAAAGAAGAGCTTTGTGGTGGTGATCTATTTAAATCGGTACCAATAATAGGCCCTCAGAAAAAGTCTGATTAATGTTGCCTTTTAGCCATTACTAAACTTAGATCAGTTGGACTTTTTTTTTTCTAGTGGTACCTCATAGTCGAAGATTATGCTATTGCTGGGTGTTATGATCCAAGCCTGTAATCCCAGCACTCCAGAGAAAAAGGCAGGAGGATTGCTGTGAGTTCAAGGCCAGCCTGGGATACCAAGCAAGCCCCTGTCTCAAAAAAAAAAAAAAAAAAAGGTTATATTATCAATGAACATTACCTTCACTGTGTATATTTGTGGTTACTAAGAAATTCTGACCCCGCAGACATTATTTTTTTTAGCTAACCTGTAGCCACTCCTTAGGACTCCTGTGTTATGTGGCTATTGTCCCACTGATTTACACATCATTCACTAAACTAACATGGCCTGTCTGACACTGTTACTTATCAATGATAAATATCCCCCCTCCCCAATGCTGGCAATCAAACATAGGGATTCACACACACAAGACAAGTACTCAACCAATAGGTTGCAAGCCCAGACCTGCTTTTTCTATGTTTAAGGTTTATACTTGGCCTGACTTTAGTTCCCTTTTGTTTGTTGTTGTGGTTCTACTATTTGCTTCACTTAGAACAATTATTCAGCTATTGTTATCCTCAAACTAGCCATATATTTAAGCACGACATGCTGAGAAGAAGTATATCACAGCTCCAATGCTGGTGGCGTGCCTGCACTTAAGAAATTCATTATAGTTTGTTCAAACATGCCACCTAATAATAGGTATGGTTTAGGTGACAATGATGCCAACAGTAATAGCAAGTGCAAGTCGTATAACTATGCAACAGTTTGAACTATGCACTGCTTTACTTGCCTGAATTTACACAATTATGTAACATTTCACATTAAATTCTCTTGAAAACAGAATTTTAATATAAAAGCTATAAAAAATATTGACTGCCTCAGAGGGCTAATAACCTAGTGGAGACAGACAGATAATGAAACCATTGCTGTAAGACTAGGAACACATCAGGGACGTCAGAGAGAGCCCTCCTACCTAGCAGGTCTTTCCAGTGGGTGGCACTGAAGTCCCACATGATGCCATTACTGGGGACTTAACAAGTCTTTGTGGCAGCCAGATACAGGGCAAGTAAGATCAGTAAATCCTAAAAAAAGAAAAATTGCTTGGACATGAATGCATGAACTGTACTTACCTAGAAACAGATGAAAAATGCCTGGGAGCTCACTCTCTCAGTCAGTTTTGCACTGCCCTAGCAAAAACACTTGAGGCTAGAAAGATTATAAAGGACAGAGATTTTATTTTGGCTCACAGTTTTAGAGACACGGAGGTTCACAAAGATGGCACTAACATCCTTCTAGCTTCTAGAGAAGCCATGTGGTGGTTTAGCTCATGGCTGGCAAACAGAAAGAGAAAGAAGTTCTGTGTGGAACAAGGCACATGGGAGAGAAAGGGAAGGAGCCTGCGCAGGCTCTTTCCAGGAGAGCAAGCCATTCTGGAGGTAATCAGACCAGTACTACCAGAGTGAGAACTCCCTTCCACAAGGAAGCCGTCAGTCCCTCGTGCAGGCCCAACACCTCTGAGCACTATTATATTGGAGTCCAAGCCTCAACAAGAGTTTTGTTTGCCGTAGCACTCAGCCCAAAATACCCACAAAACAACCCAATGCCTACTCGGTTTATCCTTCAGACCCAGTAAGAATACACTTAGCTGATCCGGTCTAGAGAACACGTTTGGATGGGAAGGCAATGAACACAGCTTACTCAGCCCAGGAGCCCCAAGGTCAAAATGCCAAGGAAAGAAATGGGAGCAAAAAGGAGAAAGCAGAAAAGCCTCCAGACAAATGCTCACTATTCCTGGAACCTGTCGCAGGGTCCCCTGGGCCTGCAGATCCCTGGGGAGTGCTGCAGTGCTGACCTCCGGAGGAAACTCCCTCGAGGTCCCGCCTCTGGTTGGATCTGGGTTCCTTGTGGCTGGCTTGAGGTCACCATCCTTTGCTTCACTTTGACTCTAGGTGGCAGCAGTAGAACAAAATAGAGGAGAAAAATCTGCTTTCGGTGAAAGGCATTTTTGTGTGTCTGCAGGGTAAAATGTTAGGAGAAATAAAATGTCTTTCCAATTTTTTTCTTTCAATATAGAAGTACTTCACCAATGTTTCAATAATTAAAATCAATGTACAGCTGTTCTCAGAACGTTCAACTTGTCAGGACACAGATGAAATATTTACAGAGAATTTTTTCAATAATAAAAATACCCCCACTTATAGTCACAAGTTTTCATTCGGAAGCTGAGATGTCAAAATTGAACGTCAGATATGCTCTGTAAATGGACACAAACTCATCTCACAAAGGGCCAAATAATCTAATGGCCTGTACATAGACATTCCCTTACTGAGAAAACACGGAGTACATTTATCTTCTAAAAGTTATTTTAAGCAAAAATATACACGTGAGGATGGAAGATATAGCTCAGCGGCACAGTGCTTGCCTGGCAGGCACGAGGTCATGAATTTGATCCCTGACACCAAAAAAGAAAAATACATTTATATTTATGGATCTTGCTTTTGCATATATTAAATCATAGCTATATGTATTTTGAAGAGAAATAATTTTATTATAAAATGACTATTTTCCACCATCACTCTCAGACAAGATGTATAATCCCAGAGTAGAAATTGTACACAAGATTTCAGAACAATGAAAACATTAGTAAGAAAAAATTAAAGGGACCCTGGAGAATAGCCGGAATAACAGAAAGATGAAGGCTGCTACAATTTTCAAAAAGGGGCTTCTAGAAAACACAGTTTACCTAGCCTGATACTGTATCCTCACACAGCTCCATGCTGGATTGAATAGAGGATGCTCGGGGCTTAGAAAATACAGTCACTCAGGCTTTGTGCATTATGACTACAGAGTGTGCAGTTCACACCTCTATATTCATAGATGAATTTATCAGAATAATTTTCTTACCTGGGTCATTAAAATGTCTTGGAGAACAGTCATCTTTTTCTACTTCATGCAAAGGCATCATCTGTGCTAATGGTGGCTCTGTTGTCATGAGTTAGAGTGGCCTTGTAAGGTTTAAGGTTAAAGCCCTACTAAACTAGCCTTTTCTTTTTGTGCTAGAATTACAGACTTGGTAGATCAGAATTAATTAATGGAAATCTTCAGATTATCACTGTTCAACCACATATTTAACCAGACTAATAGAGAGGCAGCAGAGTGGTGTCAAAGGACAAGGATTGGAATATAGTTCAGCTGTATTGTAGGTGTGCCGTCTACCACAGGCCGGCTGATGTCCGCATATGCTGGAAAGCAGTCTGGCGACTCAATATGCTCCTTATTCCCTTTGAGCTAATCACTGCATTTGACAAAGCTCCTATGCAGAAAGGTGGAAAAATATTTACCCACAGAGAAGCTGATCCCTAAGTGATAACAGCAGTGAACAAACTAGAAGGCAAATAGCAGGGAAATGATTATGAAAACAGTACAATATAGTGAGATTCAGTAGTTTAATTAGCATTTATCAAGAGTTTACCTCTCATTATAAAGTACTAGAGATTTGTGGTGAGAATGAAAGATTTGTAATTTGTCTTTCGTACAGTAAAATGTCAAATATTTAAAAGCAAGAAGATAACCCCTAAAATAATATAGCATCCACTATGTGATTTATACAATAATGTATGTGCTTATATATGCAGAGAAATTACCAGAAAAAGTGTATCCACTGTTAACAATTATCTCTTTATTATTATGCACTTTTCTGAATTTTCTTCAATGAGTTTGTTGCAGCCAAAACTCTCTTAGTTATACAAAATGATACTATAGTGAAGACTGACCAGAATAAAAAAAGAATCTTACCTAATTACCCACTCAAAAGTCAAGATCTCTTCACAATATAAAAATTCCCTACAGGTATGAAAGCAAAGTGCACAGCGGATATGAAGACAATTGATAAATCACTTTGTATATGTCTTGATTTTCACCACAGTGTCTTGTACAAAACCCAAATCCTCCTCAGCTTTGGAAGGTCTTTACGCAGGGAAGGAATTCAGGCAGCTCATTCCATCCAGGTGACACAAGGGGGTGCACAGGCCCTGCTTTCAAATGCTTCTTTGTCCTGAAAAGAAGAAAATGCTGGCATTTTATTTGGTAGCCTGATAAAAAGCTTTAATAAACTTACGAATAGAGTCAACAACTCATCTCTAACCTGAGAGATCCCTGAGTGTATGGTCCTCTACACAATCCACCTCTATTTTCCCACATTTATCTCAAAGGGAAAAATACTAAAGGAAAATGAAAGGCCTTTTAAAACACAATTAGCAAAACCAGAGACAGCTTAAATGCCCGAGAACAGATATTGTCAAATTATGGCACATAAATGATAAAATAAGCATTAAAAATGATGTTGCCATAAAAATACATTTAAAAACAATTTATAGAATATGTACAAGAGAGTACAATTTTTTCTTAAACATATCATACACATAAATAGAAAACCCAAAAAGATATACATCAAAACATTACTAACCACTATTCTTGAGAAGCAGTCGACAGGTTATTTTTTATTGCCTTCTCATTTTTGTCTACAATGAATAAAGATTTGTTTTTAAAACAACATAATATATGGATACTCCCAAGTAAAGATTAGTACCAGTTTCTATGACCTGTATAAGTTAAATGTATAAGTAAATCATTACAAATCACCCAGAGTTATGGTAACAATACAGCCTCGTTTGCCAACAGAACAGGTCTATTTTATGGCTGTGCTCTGGTGTAACTATTGACAGTGTCCATCTCATTCTTAAAAGTTTGAATGATAAGTCACCCTGAAGGTGTATTTTTACATGTTCCCTCAGAGAGTTATCAAATCTTGCAGCCTGTGCTTTATATCATCAATGGCCTGTTTCCAATCCAAAGGATGCTAATACTTTTTTTTTTTTTTTTTTTTTGTCCTTTTTCTTTTTATCAGTACCGGGGATCAAACTCACAACTGCCTGCTTGCAAGGCAGGTGCTTATGCCGCCGAGCTAAATCTCCAGCCTCCCAAAGGATGCTAATTCTTGCTATACCAAAGTGCTGAGATGTAAGACTGGGGCAGAAATTCTGAGACTTCCAGAGCTGCGTCAGGGTATGCAAAGGGCCAAAACCATCTCACAGTCAAGACAGAAAATATTTGACCCCGTGGCTGCAAAGCTGTTTATTCACTGAGCATCAAAAATAGTGGTGCGATACCCCACCTTCTGGAACAAAACTCAAACCCTGCTAGCATCAGTAGTATTTTTCTTTTTTTTTAATCAAGAGTATTCTTCAAAGCACAATTATTCATGGAAAATAAACAGCCCTCTTGCCTTGGTCAAAACTCCGTAGATTGGAACTAATAAATGCCATTCAAATAACAAGAACGGAAAACTTCTGAAATTAATCTAGGATGTGCTCAAGGCCTAACCAGGCCTCACACGGAACCACAGCCAGAATTGAAAAGCTGTTTCCCTCTTTCTTTCCCTATGTCCTTCTCCTCTTCCTCTGTAGGCATTACACAGTTTCTTGACTCTGCTTCTTTATGCACATTTGTGATTTTCTTCTTCTTCTGTAGAAATGCTTATTCTGCTCCTCCATATTCATAGCCCAAAGGGCCACCCTGAAACCGTACTTGGCCTCTCAGGTTTAGCTCCAGCATCAATTACTGAATACTAAGACTTCTTAGTCCTAATTACTAAGGGACAGAATCTAATTGATTCAGTATAATAAATGGGTTGATTCCACTTGGTACAGTTGACCACATTATGTCCAAGGAGTAGAAAAACAATATAAAATGGGCCACTCATGGAATAGGTAAGAGAGATGTAGTCTGGTAAACATCCCCGCAGAAATCTGGGACAATGTGGCAAGTCCCTCCTCTTCAATGATCTACTTTTATCACAAGGTAGAAGAGACAGCTCTCTCGTTCCCATCACAATTGCTGTATTGTGGTGAAACTTCTAGAGACATCTCAAGCACACTTTTCTCCATAGCTGCCTCATGCTTCCTAATTCCACTGCAAACTTCCAAGGGAACTAAAAACGAGGTCTTTATTCATTTTCTTCCATATCTTAAATCCTATGATGAGGAGTCATAAAGAAGTCATAAGTCGCCCATTTGAAGAGCAAAATCTTTATCCGTTTGCTTTTCATCCATTCACTCATGTAACAAACATTTATTGCGTTGCTACTATATGTCAGGACCTGTGCTTAGTGCCGTGGCAGAGATAAGACGTGGTCTTTATCCACAGGCATTCGCAATGCACTGAGAGAGTCAAAGAGATAAAAGAATAATTATGTTACAATATGATGTGACTTACAACAGAAGTGTGTGTAAAGTGCAGTGCGTGCAGAGAAAAGGGATCTAAATCATCGTTGGAGAAATGTAAAAAGGCGCCACAAAGGAGATTGTACTCCATTTGGATGCCGACAGAAGACTATTCCTGATGAAGATGAAGGAGAAGATGCCAAGCTAAACCAACAGTAATAAATAATTACCAAGTACTTGGCATTTGCAGCAAACAAACTGCCACGGGACTTATGTACATTATCTTGTTTAAAACTTGCAGCCTGTCACTCGACTACCACATGTATCTCACAGTCAGTCACTCACTTAGAACAAAAGTCCCTCAGGAGCACAGAATCGTGAGCGCACAGGAACTTCAATAAATGCCAGCTGATGAGCTGCAAACGCTCCATGCTAATGTGTATGAGGAGCAAAGGTCTCACACATTGCTGGATGTTTAGTTCTCTGGAAGTCAAGGTAGATCAAAACTCACTCCTTGACATTTGCTCTAAGGAAAAATTGAAGATTTAGACTAATTTGTAATTACAAAGATATTCGTCTCAGTATTGTTCATAATAATCTAAAATGTCTGCCAATGTTGTTATAAGTCATGTTGTAGAAGTATATTTATTAAATGGAAAGAGGCAATAACAAATTCTCAAAAATCAGTATATAAGCAGAATAAATAGAACAATCTCTATTATTTTATGTGTATGTATACAAATATATAATTGCATGTTTTTTTTTGTTTTGTTTTTTTCATTTTTATCAGTACCGGGGATCGAACTCACGACTGCCTGCTTGCAAGGCAGGTGCTTATGCCACTGAGCTAAATCCCCAGCCCCTAATTGCATGTATTTAAATTAAAATGTACAAATATATTTTAAAGGTGCATCAAGTCTATGGATTATCGATATGTGTGTTTAACTTTATGTGTATATTTCAGTTTATATGAACATACATCACTTACATGATTATGTATGAACATACAGATGCTTCCAGACTTAGGATATGGTGATAACCTCATCATTTCATATAAGTTCAAAATATTAAAGCCCCTAACTTAGTGATCACTACAGCTGAGCAACATAGAACGTCATAGTGCCTGTTTTACCCGTTACGATTTTGTGGCTGGGAGTTGTAGCTGCTTGCTAGTCTGGAAGAAAATCAAAATTCAAAGTGTGTACTGAATGTGTATAACATTCTCAGCATTATAAAGCTGGAAATTGTAAGTTGAACCATCATAAGTTAGGAGCCATCTGTGTATACTATACATAAAACTGGGAAGATGCACTAAAATTTACTGGTCAAGAATTGCAGGATTAAAGTCATGCATGGTGGCACATGCCTGTAATCCCAGCACTGGGGAAACTGAGGCAGGAGAATTGCAGTGAGTTCAAGATCAGCCTGAACTGTATTGTGAGACCTTGCCTCAGAAAGACAAAAAACAAACAACAAAAAATGTGAGATTAGATGATCTTTTTTCTTTCTTTTCTCTCTCTCTCTCTTTTTTTTTTTTTTTTTTTTTTTTTTTTTTTTTTTTGGTACTGAGGATCAAACTCACATCCTTGCCTTTGCCAAGCAGGCACTTATGCCACTGAGCTATACCCCCAGCCATTAGGTGATCTTTCCTTTGACTCATTTCTATTTTCAAATTTTTCTACTCAGTATTATAATCCCATCTATAAATATTTTTAAATGAGAGCTTTAAATGCCATGCATTGATAGCAACTAATAATGTAATTATTTGTTTACATTTGCCAGGCCAGAGAAAAAGATCTCAGCATGTTACCCACACACAACATAAAATGTCTTGCTCTCATATAGGAGTGGTATCTCGGAAAGTTGTGATGATTTTTTGCACTCAACATATTTTTATAGATATTGTTGATACATCCAAATTATGTCCTATTCCAATGAAGCTGAAGAATCCAAGAGAGAAGTTTTCAGACTGTACTTACTTGTAATCTGAGTTTGGATAAATCACTTCACTCCTCTGAGCTTCACATCAATTATCCATTCAAAAAAGAAAGGAATTAATAATCTACATTACCAGTTCTTGTACCCATGAAAGAATGTACCCATGAGAGTCAGTGGAATTTTAACTAATACCACATACTAGGACCTTCTAATCTCCTTTTAAAAATCTTCTAATTTTTAAGAATGTCATGGAGCTTTCTTTAGGACAGAGTTATTCTCTGTTATTCAGTCACATACGGTCCAGGAGGCACTGCCAATCCGGGAGAATTATACCAGTCTCATTCATGGGTTTCTTACAGCCTTGGAGAGTTACCATAAAGAAGGAATTTCACATTGCTACTTGAAACCTTTGGTGAAACTGATTCAAGCTTCTTACTACATTTAAATGCTTCTTTACAGCAAATTGCTAATCCTGCCAGAATAGTCAATAATACTCATGCTAATTTTAACTTTTTGTCTTCTGTAACCATTTGCTCAAATATCCAAAACTAAAATCATTCTCCCTACTATGGTCAGAGTCAGTTATTTTAGTCATTGAATTCCTTTTCAGTCCAGCTCCTTATGTCCTCCCTAATCTAGAAACCACTTTTAAACATGCTGACCAAAAGATTTTATTTAAACTTCATCTGTTGAGCTCTATCTCTGTCTCTTATGGCTTCATAAGACACCTGTTCTGTTTCCTATACATTACTAAAAGCCACAAAGTACAACATTAGAGTCTCTGAAGAAAAACAATGTTACAATAAAACTCTTGTCTACTTTTCATAATCCTAGACCTCCTCTCAAAGAAGCTTTTGAGAAATACTCATTAAATTCTTATTAACAAAGCAGATCAGCATACTCACTCGGAAAGACCAGTAAGATCCCAATTTTGGACTCTTGATCTTTTGGCACCTCTGAATTTGAGAGACGATCTGAGAGCTGAACTGTAACAGTGTGTCCTCATCTCCAGGGCAGTGACACCATTGTGAATGTACTGAAGGATGTCTCCCACACCACTTGTCTCGCACAGCCCAGTAACTCTGTCCATAGACGCCCATTCTCTCCCCTTAACCCCTGCAGGGAGGACAGGACTACCAACTGCTAGGGGAAGCTGAGCTCGAAGTGCTCTTTTTCATTTTTAAATAGTAGTTCAGCAGTCATAATCTCCAAAACTGAGGGTTGGAATTGCTTATAAATCGCTGTATTGCCTTTCCTTGTTCTTCCCCATTCTCTCACTGTTTACCTGTTATCTAAGAGAGAGCTTGCTACAAAATAGGCGCTGAAAAATGATTTACTAAATACATGAATCCTCCCTCTCTCTCAGTCCTAGTTCCCACATTCACCATCAAAATTAATCAGTCACAGGGGTTTGTGAAGGGTGTAACTATACAAATCAATTCCAAAATATACAGTGTACTGATGCCAGGCAAAGTTTGACCTTTGGAACATGAATCAAGCCTCAGTGTCACCCGCAATAAAAATGTCTTCACAATAACAAATGGGTTACATTCAAATAAAATGTTAAATTAAGGGCTGAGATGTGGCTCAGTGGCACAAGGGCCTGCTTGGCAATGCAAGGCCCTGAGTTCAATTCCTGGTACAAAATAAAAAGGGTTATTTAATTTATACTTGAATTCGTGGGCAGGTATCCATCACATTTCTCACTAGTTTAAAATCAAACAGCCACTTCTGCCTTTGTAGCCAGTAATCATGCCCCGAGTAAAGCATTTCTTCCTAATAATAGCTAAGGAATACAGGTGATGAGACTATCCTAGGTACTGTTTTTTCAGTACTGGGGATTCAACCCAGGACTACACACTAAGCTACATCTCCAGTCCTCTTTTATTTCAAGACAGGGTCTGTAGCTTGTTAATAAGTTGCCCTGGCTGGGTTTAAACTCTGTCCCTAAACTCTGTCGGGCTCCCAGAGGACCAAGATCATAGGTATATAGTGCTGGAATTACAGGCACTTCTTGACAATATTGTGACGTATACTTATCGTGGCCATTTTATAAATAAGAAAATGAAATGACCAGCTGGAGGTGGTGGTGCATATCTGTATTCCCAGCACTAGAAAGGTTAGGAGGAGGATTGCAAGTTAGAGACCAGCCTGGACAATTTAGTGACTTAGCAAGACCCTGTTTCAAAATGAAAAATAAAAAAGGCTGGGGATGGAGCTTGGTGTGCAGGCTGTGAGTCTAATTCTCAGTACAGAAAACAAGCAAGCCAGCACGCAAGAAAGAAGGTGTTGCGACTCACATGGCTCTTGAGTTTCTTGGGGCGCAGGACCATGAGAAGATGAGGAAATAAAGAGATAAAGCTGGGTCAGCTGGGGTCAGGTGGAACCCTTACCTGGATGGGAGGAAAGGAACTGGCCCTTCACTGTAGGGACGTTGATTTATACCTTTTAGCAACTTAATGTCATGTGACACCCTGTTGTCCTAGCAACACACTGTTCAGATTGTCTTGGGCTAGGTGCTCCCTGGGCTAAAGCAGTGTCTTCACACAGCTTTCCCGGGGCACTCTTTGTTCTTGGGACAGCCATGCCCCAGACTTGCACATGTGGTTAATGTCCAGCTTCAAGGGCTCCCAACAAGAAGGTGCATGCCTGTAATCCCAGCACTCAGAAGGGTGAGACAAGAGGATCTCAGTGAGTTTGAGGCCAGTCAGGGGCTACGTAAGTGAGACCCTGTCTCAAAAAAATTAAAAAATTAAAAAACAAAACAGAGAGAAAGAGGCAACCAGAAATTTAATAAATTGTTCCAAATTGCAAACCATGGAAATAATTAAACCAGAATTTAGATTCACTTGTATTTTAACCTAGAACCTAAACCTTTGTCTATTTTAATTTTATCAGCTAAAATTCAGGGTTACAAGGCTTATTTTGATTTAATTCTACTATATTTACAGAACATACATTGTACGCTTCCTATTTGCTAAACTTTTGATTTTTTTTTTTTATTGGTACCAGGGATCAAACTCACGACCACGCACTTGCAAGGCAGGCGCTTATGCCGCTGAGCTAAATACCCAGCCCCAAATTTTGATTTATTTTATGTCTCAGGAATTTGCCTATGTAAGTGCACCTTCTTGGTGCACTTGAAGAAAATGTATATTCTTCTAATATTGGGTGCTTTCTATGATTAGCAATTCAATCTAATTGTTTAATGGTGCTTTCTCAGTTCTAGAATTTTGCTAATTTTCACTTTACAGGTTCTGTCAATAACTGGAGCAACAGAGCAAAACAACTGACTTGAAGTCCTAAATATATATATATATATATATATATATATATATATATATATATATTTGATCTTTTTGAGACAGGGTCTCGCTGTGCAGTTCAGGCTGGTCTTGAGCTCACTTTGTAGCCCAGGCTGGTCTTTAACTCACAGTGATTCTCCTGCCTCAGCCTCCTGAGTGCTGGAATTACAGACATGTACCACCACATCTGGCTTCAAGTACAATTTTTATTTGTGTGGTTCTATCAATTTTTGTTTAATGCAAGTGGAATTCTGTTATTAGTTGCACACGTATTCAGGATTGTTGTGTACTCAGTAAATTAACCCGTTTATAATTATGCAATGTCTCTTTTTAGCCCTGGAATATTTTACTATGTGAAGTCTACTTTGATTTAAGCTAACCCCTCAGTTTTCTTTTGAATAGTGTTTTTATTGTATTTTCTACATTCTTTAATTTTAATCTACTATATTATTATATTTCAAATAATTTCTTGTGGGCAGTATATTTTGTTTTTTATGAATTCTGACAATATCTTTCTGCTTTTGAATTTGTATGCTTAGATAATTTACATTTACTCTAATTTTATATATGTTTGGATTTAGGTTTATCATTTTGACATTTGAATATAAGTTGGGTGACATGGTGCCCAGCTATAACCCCAGGATTCTACTTAGGAACCTGAAGAAACCCTGGAAAGTTAAGTAAGACTTTATCTCAAAATAAGATAAAAAAGATTGTGGTCCTAGTTCAGGAGTAGGGCCTGGGTTCAATGCTTAGTTAATATAAGAAAGTAAAAAAAAAAAAACAAATTTGTTCTGAGCAAGGGCCTCGTTAAGCATGAATGAGTTTTTACAGATACTTTATTTTTGACAAAGGGGCCAAACACCTTTGCTGGAAAAAAGATAGCCTGTTTAATAAATAGTGCTGGGAAAACTGATTTTCCACATGCCAAAAATTGAACCTGAATTAATTAATATCCCTTACCACTCACTAAAATAAAATCAAAATGGGTCAAAGATCTAAATGTAAAACAGAAAGGAAGAGAAAATAGTTAGAACTCTTGAAGACATAGGAGTAGGCAGAGACTTCATGAATGAAATCCTGATCACACAGTAAATCTTACAAAGAATCAACAACCACAATCTCATCTTATTAAAAAGATTTGCACAGTCAAATAAACCACCAACAGAATGAAGAGACAACCTGCATAGTAGGAAAAAAATTTTAACCAGCTATTCCTCAGGGAAAGTACTAATGATGTTATTAGCAAGAAAATAATCTATTACATCCATATATTGTTAAGTTTGTCTATCAGTATTACATTTAATATCACATAGATCTTCCCACAATTTTATGAGGTAAATAAAGCAAGAATTACTATATTTTTTTCAAATACCATTCATTGGGTGTGGTGGCACACCTGTGTAATCCCAGGATTTGGGAGGCTGAGGAAGGAGGATCCCAGTGAGTTTGAGGCCAGCCTGGGCTACATGAGCAAGTTCAAGGTCGGGCTGCACTGCATGGGGAGACCCGGTCTCAAAATAAATAAAATAACATCCATTTTTATTTGGTTACCAAACTAAGATAGTTTTTCTGTAAATAATGTGAGAAATAGAGAAAAACTATTTGCACAGTCAAAGAAACCACCAGAAGGAAGAATTTGAGGCAGAGAGATTCAATGGCTGACTCTGGGTCTAGCATCTAGAAATTGGTAGAGCTGAGGCTGAAAGCTCATCTGACTCCGACATTTCTGGGTTAGTCTTTGCATAGTGCCTAGCAATCACCGAATTGGTGTCGGAGACTCTCTGATGACAATGTCCACAATTCTAGAGTATCCCTTGGCTTCTTTTTTTTTTTTTTTTTTTAGTTAAGGAGAAAAGAAAAAAAAACAGTGAAAGGGTACAAGTTATACAGATTTACAGAAGAAAAAAATGAACAGTAGGAAATCACTAGTTAATGGATCACATATTGCCATCTCAGAAATTATTGTTCAAGTCACAAAATTAAAGCTTGTAGAGTGGACATTCCAACAATGATACTGCAAACAGTTCTGTTCAATGATCCAATAAAACTCTGTGATATCATTTTCTATCTTATACACTTAAATATACATGCAGTTATATAGTTTAGAGCACTTTCTTTTCCTCTCTTTTGTACAATGACTATTACACATTTTGGGTTTCATTGCTCCCACGGTTCTTATTGCTTTTTTGGAAGAGAGTAAAACCAAATGAGACATAACAGAACAGAATCAGTCAAGTCAAAAGGGTGGACATAATAGATAATGTAAAAACATAGTACAAGGTGATCAACAATGGTTACCATAATGCCTCCCGCTATCTCTAATAGAATTGCCTATATCATTAGTTATAATACAATTGAACAAAACAGTAAAGAACAAAACCGACAAAACCAAAACATTGGAGACATTGTAGGTCTTCAAAAGTAGATAAAAGTCAACGAGAATGGGCGTTATAATGAATCTCATTATCTTCTCAGCTGATGCCTAAACTTTCGAACCTGATACTATCCAGCAAAACAGAATAGGGGAACATCAGTTAAAAACCAGATGGTGAGAGTAATACAGGGCTTCAAATCGAGATAATAGAAAGTCAAAGTGGGTTACTATATTATATCCTGCTATTTTTTCCCCTTTAATTAAACAGATAAAAATAAAAAAGTAAATAATGGGGTGGAGATTGAGAAAAAAGAGGGCATAACAGCAAAACAGTGCAGATCAAAACATAACCATTTAAGCAGAATAGTGTTTCACCACCAGATAATTCCGACCCAAAAGTAGTTACCATATTGACTCTTTCCTTGAAGTCCTTGAGTACAACTTCGTATACTGTAGCATTAAGTATATCAAAACAATGTAAAACCATTTAAGAGAATGACAGCATTACAGAGTATTTAGAATCGACTAACAGAAAATGAACAATGGTTTCTGTATAATCTCCTTGTCTTTAAAAGGTTTTTGCTTATACTATCGTACATAATAAAATCCAGTAAGATACAACCTGTTTAGACCATTGGAGACAGAAGAACAAAAGCTAGATGCGACTTCAAAACAAGATGATAC